CTGTGTTGTGCTGTAGTGATACAGTTTACCATTGTAAATTAGCATAACTCTAGGATTAGAAACAGAAAAAAAGGTGTTAAACTGAAATAAAGAGAACACTCTGAGTACTGCAGTGGATAAAGAACCGTTTGAAGAGTCGTTCTTTCTGGGAAAGATCCTTTAAGGCTTTACAAAATTCTGCTTATTATTTCTCACTGTGTCCCTTCTCTGAAGCAATGTTGGGTGTATACAGTTCCTGAGTGCGGAGGTGCAGCCGCGAGAGTGCTCATTGGAATGCCAGTGCTGTCACCAACGGCCTATCCCTATGCGGTTTCTCTTCTCGTGGAACGCCGCATGGTCGCTGTGGGCTGAGCCTCGTCCATAGGGTGCCCTGGTTACGGCCGCGTTCCGTTGCCGGCCCCGGCTGTCTCTCTGCCTTCGGGATCGCGGGCCGGGCCGAGCGGCAGCGCGGGCTGCGGGCGGCGGCGGCTGCAGTCCCAGCGCGCACCGCTGGGTGGTGCCGTCGGCCAAGGCGGCGCCGAGCGGCTGCGGCAGCGGAGGCGGCCGGGCCCGGAGCGGCACAGCCCGAGCGAGCTCAGACCAGAAGCAGACCAGCCCAGCCCAGAGCAGCTCGGTTCAGCTTAGAGCAGCCCAGCTCAGCCGGGCGGAGGTGGCAGCGGCTGCTGCAGCGAGCGCTGTCCCGTGTCACCCGCTGCCGGCACAATCCGGCTGCGTTCCGGAGCGCCGGCCGGAATCTGAGAGAGCGAGGGAAGGCGCTCGGCCCGCACTTCGCCGCTCTCCGCCCGCAATCGCCCGGGACACCCGCCGCGACAACGACATCGACACCGGCACCGGCCGCCGGCGCCGCGCCATGGCGCTCGCAAGGCAAGTGCTTTGTGTGTGTGCTTTGCTGGGGCTGCCGCTCGCTCGCGCCGAGCCCATCCGCTACTCCGTAGCCGAGGAGGCGGAAAGCGGCTCCCTGGTGGGCGAGCTGGCCGAGGACGCGGGGCTGACGCCGGCGCAGCTCTCGGCTCGCCGCGCCCGCCTGGTCTCGGAGGACGGCCGCCAGCATTTTCGCTTGGAGCGCGCCTCCGGCCGCCTCGTCGTGGCGGGGAGGCTGGACCGGGAGCAGCTGTGCGCCCAGTCCGACACCTGCATGCTCCCCTTCGAGCTGCTGCTCTCCAACCCCCTGCAGTTCTTTCGGGTCGAGGTAGATCTGGAGGACATGAATGACCACTCACCTGTCTTCCCCGAGGACAGAGTCACTTTTAAGATCCCGGAAACGAGCGATTCAGGCTCTCGTTTCCCACTGGAGAAGGCTCAGGATCTAGATATTGGCAGCAACGCTGTCCAGGCTTACAGCATTGCTCCCGAGAATGAGCATTTCAGTGTCTCCTATGGGACTGGGATTACAGGGAAGAAGTATCTTGAACTTGTTTTGGAAAAGCCACTAGACAGAGAGGAGCAGGAAGAGATGGGTTTCAGACTTATTGCTGTAGATGGGGGCTCTCCACCTAAAAGCGGCACAACTGAAATCAATGTTGTCATTCTAGATGTAAATGACAATGCTCCGATGTTCACACAGGAGGAGTACATAGGAAAGATTCAGGAGAACATGCCAGAAGGCTCAGTGGTGCTGACTGTGCTGGCAACTGATCCGGATGCAGGAGTTAATGGGGACATTTCCTATCAAATCAGCCAGGCAGTGGGACAGGGCGATTCAGCATTTCTGATTGATCCCATAACTGGTGAAATTAAAATCACAAAACCACTGGACTTCGAGGCAGCAGAGCGTCATGAAATCCCTGTGAGGGCAACAGATGGAGGAGGGCTGTCAGCAATCTGCAAGGTGTTGGTGGAGGTGTTGGATGTGAATGACAATGCCCCAGAGCTGGTGGTCAGTTCCTTCAGCAGTCCCCTCCCCGAGAACACAGTGCCCGGCACGGTGGTTGCCCTGTTTACGGTCAGGGACCGGGATTCTGGTGCCAACGGGAAGATCTCCTGTGCCCTGCAGGATCAGCTCTTCTTCTCCCTGCGGCCAGCCTACAAGAATTACTATGAGCTGGTGACAGTGAGCGCGCTGGACCGCGAGGAGACGCCTCAGTACATCCTCAGTGTGACGGCAGCAGATGCGGGCTCGCCTCCTCTCACCAGCACGCACACCTTCACCGTGGACATCTCCGACGTCAATGACAATGCTCCCGTCTTCGACCAGACCTCCTACACCATGTACGTGCGTGAGAACAACGTGCCCGCGGTGTTTGTGGGAGCCGTGAGCGCGGCAGATGCTGACGTGGGGCTGAATGCCAAGGTGACCTATTCCCTGGCAGCAGAGCAAGGGCCAGAGCGGGCGTGGTGCTCGTGCATCTCGGTGAACTCGGAGAAGGGACACGTGTTTGTGCTGCGGCCCCTGGACTACGAGCGCTTGAGGCAGACCGAGGTGACGGTCAGTGCCTCTGATGCGGGCTCTCCTCCGCTGAGAGCCAACGTCACCGTGCGCCTGGTGGTGCTGGACGAGAACGACAACGCCCCGCTCGTGCTCTACCCGGTCCAGGAGAGCGGCCCGGCCTCCAGTGAGCTGGTGCCCGTGTCGGCTGAGGCGGGCTACCTCATCAGCAAAGTGGTGGCCGTCGATGCCGACTCGGGACAGAACTCGTGGCTCTCCTACCACCTGCTCAGGGCCACCGACCCAGGCCTGTTTTCCGTGGGCCTGCAAAGCGGCGAGGTGCGTCTCAGGAGGCCGGTGACAGAGAGAGACAGCGTCAAGCACAAGCTGGTGGTGCTGGTCAGAGACAACGGCAAGCCCCCGCTGTCAGCCACGGCAGCTCTCAGCGCTCTCCTGCTCAAGGACTTCTCCGACGTGCGCCTGCCGCACAGCAGCCCGGCCAGCCAGGATCAGGCCGCCGCCTCCCTGACCACCTATTTAATCATTGCCTTGGTCTTTGTCTCCCTCCTCTTCCTCATCTCCACGGCAGTGCTGCTGGCTCGCAAGGTGTGCAGGAGGAAGGAGCTGAAGGCTGGCCATGTGCTCTATGCTGCCGACACCTTGCAGAGCGGCCTGACAGATGCGGCCGCTGCAGGGACCCTGCCCCGCGCCTATTGCTACGAGATCGGCCTCACCACGGGCTCGGGCAACAGCGAGTTCAGATTCCTCAAGCCCATCCTGCCCAGCCTGCCCCCACAGCACTGCGCCGTGGGCCAGGGCCCCGATGAGGAACAGGATTTCCCCGGTGTCCCTGTCAGCAGCGAGGACATGGCCCCAGACAATGCTGGCACTCTCTCTGCAGGACAGTTCAACGCTCTTTCCTTTGACTAGCTGGGGTCTGCACAGCCAGCGGCTTCATGGATCTTGGAAGGAGGGGATCCAGGCGGGAGCATGGTGCAATGGTTCCTTATAGAAATTTTTATTTTTCATTGTTTTAGCCTGCTTCCTGCAAATTCTCTTTGAAAGAGAATTGTCTTGAAAGAATTGTCTACCACTCCAAAAAACAATGGAGAATATAAAAGAAGCCAAGGTTCTCTCACTTATTCTGTAATAGTTTTCAGCTTTGCTACTGACCTTTCTGACAGGCTGTATGTATGCGGTTAGCCCTCAATTTATGATCAGCTTTCTCTTGCTCTCTGACAAAGCAGAGGATCTTTTTTTTCTGATCTTCAAGACTATACAACTGTTACCAAAACTAGTCATATCCTCAGTAAAATGCAAAAAAGATTTTCTCAGCTCTGGAAAGCATGGCATTGGTGAGTACTGACTTAGAATACCATGTGAGAACTAAGCACTTTTTTGCCTGGATTCTGGATGTCTCTTTCTGAGATATGAGCTCTGTGTGCAGGCATTGAATATCTGCAGATGCTTCAGAAGTACTGTCTGCTGAAGCAGGGAGTTGCTCCCACCCAGCCATTACAACAGGCAATGCCAGCTCAGCAGGGAAGGAAGTGATTTGGACCCTTTCACAACAGCGCTCTCATCATCCTTATCTAGCCAGAGTAAAGCAGCAAAATGCACAACAACATATTTCTTTGGCTTACAAGAAGGGCTTGGGTGTTCTTTCACCTCATAATTGCCACGGAAATATAGGAGAACAGACACTGTAAACTCCTGCACGTAGACTGCAGCTGTACAGAGCTGTAGAAACATGTTCATTGTCATTGAATGCATTGAAGGAAAAATCTACATATAGTAAAACACTTTTTTTTTTAAATGAATTCAAGACGAGATTAAAAAAAAAGATATTGAGGTTAGTCTTTAATTTTGTTCCTGAATCCCTAGGCTTCTTGGTGGCACTAGAAAGCTGCCCCACATAATTTTCTGTGTTTGTGTGAGAGCATTTACATTCCCGTGTGCACACTTTCTCCTCTGAAATGTAATGAGCACAGTACTGATCCTGCTGATCTAGAGAAGGACTGACACCCAATCTAGAAGAATTGATTGTTTGAATGATGTCTGTGATGCATGAAATAATGAGAAAGCCTCCCTCATGCTGTGATGTGCTGATGTTATACAGCTTAAGGTTGTAAATTGGTATAACTCTAGGATGAGAAACTGAAAAATGTGTTAGACTCAAATAAGGTGAACACCCTTTCATGAAAACAGAAGTCTTCGCAGACACGTTATTTCTGGTAAAGCCCTTTCAGGACTTTTCGGAATTGGGCAACTTACCTTCTCACTGCGTCCCCTGGTATGCAGCAATGTTGAGTGCGTAGAGCTCCTGAGCATGGAGATGCAGCCGAGACTGTTCATTGGCAGGCTGATGCTGTCACCCTCGCCCTATCACTGTGCTGTTTCTCCTGATGAGAGACGAGACTCTGTGCTTCTGGGTTGAGCCTCGTCTTTGTGCTGCCCTGGTTACGGCCGCGTTCCGTTGCCGGCCCCGGCTGTCTCGCTGCCTTCGGGATCGCGGGCCGGGCCGAGCGGCAGCGCGGGCTGCGGGCGGCGGCGGCTGCAGTCCCAGCGCGCACCGCTGGGTGGTGCCGTCGGCCAAGGCGGCGCCGAGCGGCTGCGGCAGCGGAGGCGGCCGGGCCCGGAGCGGCACAGCCCGAGCGAGCTCAGACCAGAAGCAGACCAGCCCAGAGCAGCTCAGTTCAGCTTAGAGCAGCCCAGCTCAGCCGGGCGGAGGTGGCAGCGGCTGCGGCAGCCAGAGCTGTCCCGTATCAGCCGCTGTCGGCACACCCCGGCTGCGTTCCGGAGCGCCGGCCGGAATCTGAGAGAGCGAGGGAAGGCGCCCGGCCCGCACTTCGCCGCTCTCCGCCCGCAATCGCCCGGGACACCCGCCGCGACACCGACATCGACACCGGCCGCCGCCGCCGGCGCCGCGCCATGGCGCTCGCAAGGCAAGTGCTTTGTGTGTGTGCTTTGCTGGGGCTGCCGCTCGCTCGCGCCGAGCCCATCCGCTACTCCGTAGCCGAGGAGGCGGAAAGCGGCTCCCTGGTGGGCGAGCTGGCCGAGGACGCGGGGCTGACGCCGGCGCAGCTCTCGGCTCGCCGCGCCCGCCTGGTCTCGGAGGACGGCCGCCAGCATTTTCGCTTGGAGCGCGCCTCCGGCCGCCTCGTCGTGGCGGGGAGGCTGGACCGGGAGCAGCTGTGCGCCCAGTCCGACACCTGCATGCTCCCCTTCGAGCTGCTGCTCTCCAATCCTCTGCAGTTCTTTCGGGTCGAGGTGACTGTGAAGGATATCAATGATCATTCACCCGTCTTTCTCGAGGATCAAGTCAGTTTTGAAATCCCTGAAACGAGCGAGCCGGGTTCTCGTTTTCCGCTGGAGGGGGCTCGGGACCTTGATATTGGCAGCAATAACATCCAGGCGTACAGTATCTTTCCTGAGAACGATTACTTTAGTGTCTCCTATGGAAGTCGGACTGAAGACGACAAATATGTTGAACTGGTCTTAGAAAAGGCACTAGACAGAGAGGAGCAGGCAGAGATAGGTTTCAGCGTTATTGCCGTGGATGGGGGTACTCCATCCCGGAGTGGCACCACCCAAGTCCACATTGCAGTTCTAGACGCAAATGACAATGCTCCCATCTTCACACAGGAGGTGTACATTACAAAGGTTTTGGAGAACATGCCAGAAGGCACTGTGGTTCTTACTGTTTTAGCAAGTGACCCGGATGCAGAAGTTAATGGGGTCATCTCCTATCAACTCAGCCAGGCAGTGGGACAGAGTGACTCAGCATTTGTGATTGACCCCATGAGTGGTGTCATTAAACTCACAAAACCTCTAGACTTTGAGGAAGCAGAGGATCATGAAGTCCGTGTGAGGGCCAGAGATGGAGGAGGGCTGTCAGCAATCTGCAAGGTGTTGGTGGAGGTGGTGGATGTGAATGACAATGCCCCAGAGCTGGTGGTCAGTTCCTTCAGCAGTCCCCTCCCCGAGAACACAGTGCCCGGCACGGTGGTTGCCCTGTTTACGGTCAGGGACCGGGATTCTGGTGCCAACGGGAAGATCTCCTGTGCCCTGCAGGATCAGCTCTTCTTCTCCCTGCGGCCAGCCTACAAGAATTACTATGAGCTGGTGACGGTGAGCACGCTGGACCGCGAGGAGACGCCTCAGTACATCCTCAGTGTGACGGCAGCAGATGCGGGCTCGCCTCCTCTCACCAGCACGCACACCTTCACCGTGGACATCTCCGACGTCAATGACAATGCCCCCGTCTTCAACCAGACCTCCTACACCATGTACGTGCGTGAGAACAACGTGCCCACGGTGTTTGTGGGAGCCGTGAGCGCTGCAGATGCTGACATGGGGCTGAATGCCAAGGTGACCTATTCCCTGGCAGCAGAGCAAGGGCCAGAGCGGGCGTGGTGCTCGTGCATCTCGGTGAACTCGGAGAAGGGACACGTGTTTGTGCTGCGGCCCCTGGACTACGAGCGCTTGAGGCAGACCGAGGTGACGGTCAGTGCCTCTGACGCGGGCTCTCCTCCGCTGAGAGCCAACGTCACCGTGCGCCTGGTGGTGCTGGACGAGAACGACAACGCCCCGCTCGTGCTCTACCCGGTCCAGGAGAGCGGCCCGGCCTCCAGTGAGCTGGTGCCCGTGTCGGCTGAGGCGGGCTACCTCATCAGCAAAGTGGTGGCCGTCGATGCCGACTCGGGACAGAACTCGTGGCTCTCCTACCACCTGCTCAGGGCCACCGACCCAGGCCTGTTTTCCGTGGGCCTGCAAAGCGGCGAGGTGCGTCTCAGGAGGCCGGTGACAGAGAGAGACAGCGTCAAGCAGAAGCTGGTGGTGCTGGTCAGAGACAACGGCAAGCCCCCGCTGTCAGCCACGGCAGCTCTCAGCGCTCTCCTGCTCAAGGACTTCTCCGACGTGCGCCTGCCGCACAGCAGCCCGGCCAGCCAGGATCAGGCTGCCGCCTCCCTGACCACCTATTTAATCATTGCCTTGGTCTTTGTCTCCCTCCTCTTCCTCATCTCCACGGCAGTGCTGCTGGCTCGCAAGGTGTGCAGGAGGAAGGAGCTGAAGGCTGGCCATGTGCTCTATGCTGCCGACACCTTGCAGAACGGTCTGGCCGATGCGGCCGCTGCAGGGACCCTGCCCCGCGCCTATTGCTACGAGATCAGCCTCACCACGGGCTCGGGCAACAGCGAGTTCAGATTCCTCAAGCCCATCCTGCCCAGCCTGCCCCCACAGCACTGCGCCGTGGGCCAGGGCCCCGATGAGGAACAGGATTTCCCCGGTGTCCCTGTCAGCAGCGAGGACATGGCCCCAGACAATGCTGGCACTCTCTCTGCAGGACAGTTCAACGCTCTTTCCTTTGACTAGCTGGGGTCTGCTCAGACTGAGGCTTCATGGCCTATGTGGGAAGGAAAATATCCAGGCCACAGCATGTGGCAGTGGTACCTCTTGAGTAAATTTGTATTTTCAATTGGTGCAATCAGCTTCCTTCAAAATCCAATTCAGAATAAATATTTTCTGCCCCTCCAAAGCACAAATAAGAAAGAAAAGTCACTCAGGTTCTCACACTGAGGCAATAGTATGTTTCAGCTCTTATGGTAATTTCTGGGAAGTGTTTAAGTGTGGGAATAGCACTCCAGCTATGCTGTTTTCTCTCTTTCTTTGCAAGTAGACAGTCAAGCTTTTCTTCTGTCTCGTGACACAAACGCACACTTTGACAGACTCTTCCAGATCTTCTCCTTCATAACATTCAGAAAACCCTTTTCCCAGCTCAGGAAAGCAAATATGTTGAGAGTACATTGTCACAGTGTTTTGTGAGGACTGGCCTCTTTCTTCCCCGGGTTCCGGATGCCTCTGTCTGAGATGAGTGGGTTCCATGTGCTTTGGTTTCCTGTCAGTCTGTACAGCCACTGAGTGTTTGCCTATCTTTCACTAGTGCTGCCTGGTGGAGTTGCTCCCATCCAACCTCTGCAATGCAGGCAGTTGCAGCTCAGCTGCCAAGAAGAGTATTCTGACCCTCTGAGTACAGGAGTCTCATCCTCTCCAGGGCAGAGAAGAGCAGTAAAATGTATGAAAAAATATTCTTTTTGCCCTATAAAGGAGTGCTCAGTGTTCTGTCTCCTTGAAATATAGAAATATAACAGCCCAAATGGTGTTTGTTTTATTATAGCCGTACAAAGTTTTTAATAAATGTTCATTTCCTTTGGCTATATTTGATGAAAACTCTGTAAGTGCTTCAGAGACCATTTTCTGAAGGGTAGAATCAACACGAAATGATAAAAAGGAGATTGATGCTGGTCATCCAATTGTTCCTGTGGTAAAAAGGAGGTTGATGCTGGTCTTCTTATTGTTCCTGTGGTAAAAAGGAGATTGATTCTGGTCTTCTTATTGTTCCTGTATACAGTACTTTCTTGTTGGGAGTAGAAAGCTATCCCCAGTAGAAATCTACTATCCCAAATAGTAGAAAGCTATTATTTTCTCCAGTTGTGTTAGAGCATTTGCATTCTCCTTTTTTCCCTTTCTCCTGCTACTCTCTGAACTGAGTTTCAGCATTGTCTTTCTTTTTCTGCTTAAGGACTGGCTCCCCATGTATAATTGATTACTTGAATGATGTCTGTGATGCACGGAATATTCAGAGAGCCTCACGCTGTGTTTTGTTGAAGTTATAAAGTTTAATATTACAAACTTGAGTATCCCCGAGTGTAAAACCGAAATAAAGAAATCACCTGAATGCCTTGTGTGGAGACAGTTTTTGTATTTTCCTTTGGCCTAGATAGTGGGTGAGTGGGCATATCTCTCCAGTTTCAAGATGCAGCTGATAAAGCATTCAGGAAAATTGGGAATGGAATTGTTATCAGGCCTCTATGATTCTTTTGAGAATTGACCTTTAGGCTGAGATGGAGCCCAGGCAGGTCAGGGGAAACTGGGCCTGAGCTCCACACACACCCTGGGTGTGCTCTGTCTCTATAAAGCTGTGATGCAGGGGAGTGACCTTCTCAAATCTCCTGACAGCTGCATCCACAGATGGCAATGACGAGGTGTTTGTAACACTTCAGGTGCAGGAATTTTGCGAAAGAATGGCACAGAACCAGTAAATACTTACCTTGGGAAGTATTTTTAGGGAGTGCCTGGAGATGGGAATTTGGCAATTCAATAAAAGAATAAAAACTGCTACCAGGGAGAAGATTTGGTATAATGAAATGCCAAGGACTACAGCGGGACTACTTTCACAAGGCCCAGATGAAAAGGTAAGTCCTGGGGACGAAATGGTGCTGTGATGCTGAAGAAGACCAGAAAACTGATGAACAGCAAGGATCAAGTGATCCACAATCCAGTTAATCTGGGAAGACACAGGGTTTCCGCTGTGCTGTGTTCTGCTCCACAAATAGGCTGGGGAGGGTTAGATTAATCTCATTTTAACCAAGGAACCTGCAGGCAGGTCCCCCTTCCCACTGGTGAGAAAGCCACCTGCAAACAAGAAGTCTGCATGCAAACTTCTTTTACTGGAACTCTAAAAATTATGAATAAAACTGGTTTACTGTGTGAAAGTCCTGCAGTGTCTTGACTGAGTGGAACAGGGGCACACCTCCATTCCTGGGACCAGGATCTGCTGGCATTCTGTGTGTGGCTGAATTCCTGTGTGAAGCTACTTTTACTCAATGTTCTCCACATCTAAAGGGATGCCAGATTACCTGTGGAAACCTCTTCCACTGGTGTGTGTTATAAAAGAGAATTGCCGTGTTCCTCTTACTGAGATCACTAGGGACCCTCATCTTCTGTGGTTAAACTTCTGGGGTTTGAGTCATTCCAGTTTGAGGCTTCAAGTGTCTGAGGACATTCATAAACAGTTGGTTTATTATTGCTTTTACCCTGTGAGAGGGGGAGGCAGTGTCCTGTCTTGAAAGGCCTGAACACACTGCCAAGTTCTCCCAAGAAGCTCACTGGAGGTGCCCTTTAGGAAGGATTAAGACCTTAGTCCAGCCCTCCTTACCAAAAGAAATGTTTTTCTGGACTTGTTGGTCATCAACACAGCTGAGCTAATCAGAGATACCAAGACTGAAGGCAGCCTGGGCTGCCATGATCGTTCACTGGTCAAGTTCATAGTCCTGACGGATATGGATCAGGCAAAGAGTAAAACCAAGGACCGTGAATTTTAGAAAAGCAAAGTTCCAGCTCTTAAAGGATTTAGTCAATGGGGCCCCTCAGGGGAAAGTGCCCTGAAGGACAAGGGAGCAGAACAGACCTGGCAGATCTTTAGGAATGCTTTCCATACAATGTGTGCCCTCTAGAACCCATGTGTAGGAAAACAGGAAAAGAAGGGGACAGTACAGCATGGCTGAGGGATGATTTTCTGGTCTAAATAAGGGGGAAAGAAAAAAATGAGCAGCGGTGGGATCAGGGACAGGTGTCCAGGGAAGAGTACAGGGATGCTGGCTGGTTGTGTTGGGACAGGATCAGGTTGGCCAAGGCTGGAGCTGAACTCTACAAGGACTGCAAAGAATAGCAAGAAGGACTTCTACAGGTAAGTCAGACTGAAGAAAGCATATTTTGTCTCCTGAGGAACACAACTGAAAATGGATGTCTCCTGTTGTATGTCTCCGGAGGAACACAACTGACAATCTGATAAAAACAGACCACGAGAAGGCTGAGGTACTCAACCATATCTTTGCCTCAGTCATCACTGACAAGGTCCCTTCCCACGCCTGTCAAATGGATGGAGCTCAAGGCAGGGACTGAGGGGGGAAAGTCCCTCCCACTGTAAGAGAAGACCAGGTTCGAGACCACCTGAGCAACTTGAACACAGAAAAGTCGGCTGCTGGTTTGTGCTATCACATGAGGTTTGGAAATCTAACGTTGCTAATGGCATTCCTATATTAAGATATATTGGCAGATAAGGTGAGGGGAATAAAAAGATGATCCGACCATGACTGCTGAAAAAGCTGGGCTATTAGTGGGGGAAATTGTGGTTTTGAATGGATTTTAACTCGTAATAGTTCTGCTTGTCAAGAGAACTTTCTATCAATATTGTATCACCATTACAAAAACATTTTCCTGTGCGGTAGAAACAGCACTAGGACGCCTCTGCCTTCTTACCGCTCTTGATCAGCTTCTCAAAGAAGAGATGGGCTGGAGAAGAGCAGAGGCAGGAGGTCCCCTCTGGGACCCGATATCTCCGTGGCTCCGTGCTGTCCCCGCGAGCTGCCCGTGGGAAGGCAGGGCGGGCCGCGCCGGGCAGCGCTCGGTGCCTGCAGTGCCGGGAGGAGGCTGCGGGCGCCGCTGCTGACCGAGGGGAGCGAGAGGAAGCTCGGAGCGCTACCGGCAGCCCCGCCCGCTGCGGGCAGGATCCCTTGCCCGCTCCCTCTCTGACTCGGCAGACGCCGGCTTAGGATCGTCCCCGCAGTGCGGATCGGTGCCGCAGCGAGACGGAAGGGCCAGAGGCAGCGGCTGGCAGCGGTGAGCCGAGGAAGAAATTAGAGCAGAAGCGGGAGCCGGAGCGGGTTGCGGATCTGCGGTCGGCGGGGAGAACTGCTCGCTGTTTGCGGTGCCGCTGTGGAGATGTGCGCGGCGGGGAGGCGCTGGGGCCGGCGGCAGCGAGCTCTGCTCTGGGCCGTTCTGCTGGCGGCGTGGGAGGCGGCGTGGGGGCAGCTGCGCTACTCGGTGCCCGAGGAGATGCCCAAGGGCTCGTTCGTGGGTGACGTGGCCAAGGACCTGGGGCTGCAGCTGCCAGAACTCAAAGACCGCGAAGCCCACGTTTTTGACACAGGTAGGACACGGTACTTTTTTTTGGACTTGCAGAACGGCCACTTATCTATGATGGAGCAGGTGGACAGAGAAGAAATATGCGCAGCCGTCGCTAAATGTGTTTTAAACTTTGAAATTCTTGTAAAGCATCCAATGAACATTTACAAAGGGGAGGTAGAAATAATGGATATTAACGATAATCCTCCCAGTTTTCCAGAAAGAAGAAATGTCTTAGAAATCAGCGAGAATACTGCACCAGGTGCTCGCTTCCCATTAGAGAGAGCTCATGATCCCGACATCGGAGTGAACTCTTTACAGAATTACAAATGTAGCGAGAGCAGCTATTTCACCTTGGACGTGAAAACTGGAGGTGATGGTGTGAAATATCCGGAATTATTATTGGCGAAATCTTTGGATCGGGAACAGAAAGCTGCTCATCATTTGATCCTGACAGCCACAGACAACGGAAGTCCAGTGAAATCAGGATCGACAACAATCGAAATAATTGTGTTAGATGGAAATGACAATGCTCCAGAATTTACTCAGTCTGTGTATAAGGTGACCGTGAGAGAAGACGTGGCTGTAGGAAGTCGGGTGTTACAGGTCACAGCAACTGACAGAGACGAAGGGCCAAATGCTGAGGTAAAATACTCGTTCTTTCAGATCCCAGAGAAGTTCGACAAGACTTTTAAGATGGATCCAGAAAGGGGAGAAATTGTCATAACAGAGAACTTGAATTTCGAAGAACACGAGTTTTACGAATTGGTTGTACAAGCTCGGGATGCGGGCGGACTCTCTTCCCACAGCAAAGTATTCATCAAGGTGGTTGATGTAAACAACTACGTTCCCGAGATTGTCGTCATGTCCGTGTCCACTCCGGTTCCGGAAGATACACCAGTGGGGACAGTGATAGCAATTTTTAGCGTCCAAGACAGGGATTCTGGAGCGAACGGAGAGGTGCAATGCAGCATCAGCGAGAGCCACCCATTCCGCCTAGAGAAATCATTCGATAATTATTACCGTGTGGTGACTGCCGAACTACTGGACCGGGAGCAGGTGTCGGAGTACAACGTGACGGTGCGGGCGGCCGACGGCGGGTCGCCGTCGCTGCAGAGCAGCGCGGTGCTGGCGCTGCGGGTGCTGGACGTGAACGACAACGCGCCGGTGTTCGCGGAGGAGCGCTACAGCGCGCGGCTGGCGGAGAACAACGCGGCGGGCGCGCTGGTGCTGACGGTGCGCGCCACGGACGCGGACTGGGGGCAGAACGCGCGCGTGCGCTACCGGCTGGCGGAGGGGCGGGTGCGGGGCGCGCCGCTGTCGTCGTACG